TTGATTATTGTTTGTCACTAATTACTTTCAATGCAGAACAGAAAAATCACTTTGAACAGTCCTAATCTTGCTCAGGAGTGACTATTCCGCTTCAGGGTTGATTATTTTCTTAATCATCTTCCACTTGACAAATTAACATATGATAATGAGATAAGAAAAATCAGACCCAATTTTTCTTTGCTGGATGAAGATAAAAGATAAATTTATTTTTTTCCATTTATAAATTTAAATCACTTTCAGTTTCATGGTTTTCAATCCATGAATTGAAGACTGATGTCATAACTAAAATTTTGCAGAATTATCAAAATATAATTAAATCCAACATGAGATTGACAACTGATATCGATACTCACCATTGTGCTTTTGAATGTAGATGATGAATTTCTTAAGTCAGTGATGTTAGTTGGTCATGGTGAATCTCTCTTGATCTTTCCAGATTGAACTTTATAATAGCATGGTGGATGGAGATGGTATAGATGGTAAAGTAGAGGCTATGAAGGCATATAAAGCTGCTTGTGATGGTGATGATGAAATTCCTGAGCATGACAAGGTTTCATCTGCACTCATAGATAAGGTGAGATTTTTTCCCCCCCTAACAGTTCCTAACCTGGATTATAAGTAATGTCTCCTCTCCCTCTCTGGCTGCCGAGGAAAGAGTCCTATAAAGCACTGGGGGAGGAGGATTTTGACATGGATGAAAACAGAAAAGGAAAAGCCAGTGTGAAGAGAAAATCGGTGATGTTTAGAATATCTCACGTGGATGTATTAAAACAAAGTTATCTAATTGGCTGCTTTTGTCCAGGTTGATACTATGCTTCAAGGGCTCGAGAAAGAAATTGATGATGTGGATGTAAAGATTGGTGATCATTGGCGAGTACTTGACAGGTAAATTAAGGATCGTCTATTTTTATGCTCAACTGTTTTAATCCTTTATGCTTGGTGTCCTGCTTAGGAGTTGGATTCAATACTGCTTCATGGATTATGATGTCTATTATTCTTGTCCTTCGGCACTAAAAGAACTTGCATGATGGTTAGTAAAGAAAATGACTATTATGGTTTATTGAACTACCTAAGTCTGGGAAAGAAACATCTGAATGTTTCTGAGGCTGCATATTTTTCTGTGGGTGTGAGGAGTGATGTAACTAAATTTTGGCAGCAGTGCTGTTAAGGTTAATAGCTAAAAGTATGGCTATTGTTTTTGATCAACCATCACCATTGCTTCACCACATCTTTTGTCAGGGCAATATTGTTGGAAATTCTTATAAAGTCTAATTTAAGTAGAAAACTAACTACTTGAAAGTCAGTTTACAGAAGTTCATGCTTGGTCAAAATTCTAAAACATTGTCATTGTTGTACATGTATAGAGATTATGATGGTAAAGTGACTCCTGAGGAGGTGGCTGCTGCAGCTATGTACTTGAAAGACACTTTAGGCAAGGATGGGGTTCAAGAACTAATCAACAACCTCTCCAAAGACTCAGGTAAGTTATTCTCGACTCTTTATTTGCACATGATTTCCAATTTGATATACTGTCTAGGTTTATAGCATGTTTATAAGCTTTAAAATAAGTAAAAGTTACTTTTTAAGTATTTTTTTTCTCAATTGTGTTTGGACAAGAAAATCTTTACTTTTAAGTTGATCCCATTTATGTTTTGTGGATGGCTAACATTATCTTGTCACTTGTGCTGCCGAAGCTTGAAATGTCTGCTTCATCTATTGTTACCAAGATATTTAATACACCAGATATAACTTCTTTATTGTTTAAAGCATATCTTTTTAAGCAAATGCATATATTTTTCTTAATAATATTCTGAATTTAGACAGAACCACTGCTGCACAATGCTAAAAGAAAATAATCTCTTAAGTTTGAGAAGTCACACGGTTTACATCAATTAAGATGAATTAGAAGAAATGAATTGTTAATAGTCCCGTGTCCTTGTTAAAATTCATGGCCAACTAATGTCCTAATCTTGCTATATGGGAGCTTTTGGTAGATTTAATCTCGACTTTCTTATTCCTGAGAAGATGCATATAATGATAAATATCCAACACACGTTTAGCTTCTTCCTTTTTGTTATTTTATGTTTGTTTATTTATATTTTGCTTCAGATGGAAAGATTCTTGTTGAAGACATAGTGAGGTTGGGCAGTCGTGTTGAAGATGGCTGTACTGGTGAGTCTGGGAAAATGTAGACGGTTTGTCCTTGCATTAACAGGATATTACTGTCGTAGTTAAATGTGGAGAGATTTCTTTAGGCTCAAAGTGCCATTGATAATAGAGGTTGGCTTTCTGGTCATGTAAATATTATGCTGACAGAAAAACAGAAGCATATATATACTAGTTGTTGGATAAGTGTTTCAGTACTAGATAACGGATTTACACACTAAATATCGAATTTACAGTTTTAATACCGGATTGGAGCATACCGTATATGCAGTGAATTTAAACACTGGATTTTCATATACCCTTTTTGTATATAATTTTGAATATAAAATATTCAATTATATATAACAGATTTAATAATCTGGCAGATTCAATGATTTGTTAATTGCAGTAAGACGTAACAAGTAATTTAAAGAGAACAAAAAAATATCAATATGCAAAAACAAGTAACAAACAATGGAAAAAAAACGAATTAAATGGTAAAACTTTTAATTTGGTGCCTGTGTTATATACGGTTTCCTTAAAATAGATTTGTCTCTTCACCGTCTGTGCTTGAAGTTTAAATCAAGCGTCCGCTTCCAAGGATTCAACGATAAAACTAGTAGATTTTGAGCATTATAGATACTACTTCGGCAAATTGATTTAGTGTCTGAACAATACCACCTCCAAGACTCAAACAAAAATTAAAAATGTATGCGGACATTTTTTTTTCCGTGTATATGAAAAGTGGAAAACAAGACATGTAGACTCGGCTCTTGAGAATGTAACTTGCCCATTCACTTAATGGCAATTACCATAGGAGTATCAACACCTTTAGCAAATGAAAAGTCAGTTGAATAAAACAAAAATGTACGCATGTTGCGTTTCTAAGGGGGCCAATTTTGCTCCTTTCGGTCAGACATTCGTGTACGCAGGTACGATGGTATACGAGTTCAAGGTCCAAATCCTATTTCGATCCGTGATTTGCACCCCCCTGTGCGCGCACGTGGAGAGAGTTTTTATACTGCACATGATTATACCATTCCAAGGTGCAACCATATTTAATTTATTTTTGTTTTCATTAACTTCCTATGTGGGACATACATTTCTAGTTTTCCCACCAAACAAACTTACTTTTAATTGACATACTTGAGCTTCAATTTCTCATTCATCCGAGCATCAATTTTGGCAAGTAAATATAAATGATTTGTTAATTACAGTAAGAAAAATAACAAACAAAAATAATAATGAAGAAACAGTAATAAACTTTTAACTCGAGGTTTGTGTTACACACAGTTTCCTTAAAACAAATTTGTCTCCTCACCGTACGTGCTTGAGGTATAATTTAAGCGTCTGCTACCCAAGATACAACGGCAGAACAGACACTCCTAAGTGGCCAATTTTGCTCCGACATTCGTGTACGCAAGTCGCGCACGCACACAAGTTCAAGATCCAAAACCTATTTCGGTTCATGATTGCACCCTCCAGAGCGTGCAGGTGGAGAGAGCATTTATGCTACACATGATTACATCATTCTAAAGTGTAATCCTTTATAAATTTGTTTTAGTTTTCATCTACTTCCTATGTGGGACAAACATTTTTTTTTTTAGTTTCCCACCAACATAAACTCATTTTAATTGGAACACTTTGAACTTCAATTTCTCATTCATCCGAGCATCAATTTTGGCAAGTAAATATATAATTTCGATATACTCACAAAGGATAACACAAATCAATCTTTATCTTCCAAAATAGCCAAACGGGTCTCATTCAAAACTCATGCCAAAATCAGCCATATACTCATTTTTTTCAACACAAGTTTTATTAGTTCTCACTTTGTGTTCAAGCATCTTGATGAAAGAGCGATATTGAATAGGACGCATAAATTCCGAATATCTTAATTCATACTGCATGTTGCTTAACTGCTATCTACTAGTTGTTGATTGTGCTTATTTTCATTTCAATGTAGCATCTATCGGGCATTTACAAATTGATAATTTTGATAGCATGGTTCTGTTACGGTTTGTCTAAGATTCCTCCATCGGTGAATCCTTACCATTCATGGCATTCCAGTTTATTGAGCCATCTTATCTGAAACTGAAAAACTGTTAGCGAGGTGAGTGATGACCAAGTTATTTAATTAAATCGTGTCTTCAAAATGCCTCTTACTTGCATGCGAGATTCTTTTTTCTTTTAACGAAATGCTTGATACATGCACAATCTATATAAATAAGCTACGACATTTGGGCGTTCTTGTGTCATATTGAACTATTTCGTCTAAAAGTTTAAAATAATAGATGGGACAAAATTATTTGTTTAAATTACGTGGTGAGCACGCCCCCCTAGTGCAAGCATAATTAGTTTCTTTGATCAAAGGTTGTGTTAGAAGTGAGAGTGTTGTGATTCGAACATGATATCTGCTTGATAGCATACTAAATTATCTCATCTAAAAGCTTCAAGTCTTAAATGAAACTTAATCGAGAACCAAACGGTTGTAGTACGGTTCTTAATTCTAGGTACATGATCAAATTTTGATTTGATTCTAAAAATATTTTAAAATATACCTCAATAAAATCTAATTTATTTTAATTCATATTTATTCAAAATAATATAGGCTTTATTGTTTAAAATATAAAGCATGAAAGTGAATTAGAAATTTATACAATGGTATACCTTTAAAATTTATTTTTTAATCTTAAAAATCGAACCAAATAAATGGTTCCATTGAAAATAGGACTGATTCAATCCAAAAAAAAAAAAAAACAAATCATTTTTTCTGAGAAAATTTCACATATTCCTCCTATTCTTTATAGAAGTTGATCACCCAATAGTTCAGTAACATTACATAATTGCAGATTTCATATAGAGTTAAAACTTGCCAAAACAGTTAAAGGGAATTTTTTATGCACAGTAATACCATCGCCTTCAGTCATATCCAAATCCTCCCCACTTACTCCACCAGGCAATGAAAAATCAAAGTTCACAACAAGATTTGCCAGTGCAAGCTCAACTATTCCCATGGCAAATGCAGCACCAGGACAGCTTCTTCGACCTGCACCAAACGGAGTTAACTCGAAATGTTGCCCTTTGAAATCTATAGGGCTGTTCAAGAATCTTTCAGGCCAAAACTTGTCTGGATTTTCCCATAAAGATGGATCTCGACCGATGGCCCAAACATTGATGATCACTCGTGTCCCAGCTGCAATGTCATAGCCTAACAGTTTAACATCTTGGGTCGATTCTCGGGGAACGAGCAACGGGAGTGGAGTGTGCAGCCTTAGAGTCTCTTTTATGACTGCTTTCAAGTATTGCAGTTTGTCTATATCATCTTCTGTTATATGTGATTTGCATCCTGCAATATTGCTCACTTCATTCTTCAATTTCTTCATAATATGATCGTGCCTTATGAGTTCAGACATTGTCCACTCAAGAAGTGTGAATGTTGTATCAGTCCCAGCTGCAAACATGTCCTGCAACAAGTTACCCCCTTCTTAAGTGTCGAGTCGATGCTAAACTAGACATGATCAAGAAATAGAAATAGTTCGATCTTTTTTTTTTGGAAGCAAATGCAGCCCACTTCATTTCCCCGAGTGAGGAATGAAGTGACAAGGTCCACAACTGACTGTATATGAACTTTTTCAAGTATAGAAACAACTATTGTAATATAAAAACAAACTCAAATCAAGGCTATGTATATCTTGATCATTAAATAAAGAAGGGCCTTTTGGAAAAAAATCCCGATATTTCAACTAAGATATCGTTAACTTTCAAATGAAGGCGAGCCTTGGCCTGAGACGAGGCTCACAAAAAGTGGTGAAATTTTCTTGGATTTCAACTATAGCACATAATCTTTTGATCGAAGGCCTATCTCGAGCCAAGACAGGCCTCACAGGAAAGTGGTAAGCCGTGCGTGGCGCAGCCACCACGAACCCAGGCCAAGATGCAGAAATATAAGAAGGTGAACCCTCTCACCATCAAAAGAAATGAGATTATCACGGATACATTATTCCTTAAGGATCCATGAAAAGAAAAGACAATTAAGCACGTTAAGAGCACATCTTACCAAGATGAGAGCTTTAACAGAGATTCCATCAAGAACAAATCCAGTCTCATTTTTTTCCTGAATTTCAAGCAAAACATCCACAAAATCTTGCATTTTCTCATCATTATTCCCCTTTCTTCTCTTCTCATCAATGTGCATTTGCACTACACTTTCAAGAAACTCATCAAGATCTTTAGCAACTTTCTTCACTTTTGAATCCATACCATTAATATATTTCGTCCAAACAAGCCATGGAATGAATTCTCCTACATCAAAAGCACCCAATAATTCCCCCAAAGTCTCCAAAACCTCCTTAAATTTTATCCCACCTTCTCCATCACTGTATTTCCTGCCTAATGCCACTCTACAAATCACATCATTTGCAAGTGATGCAAATATCTCACCCAAATTAATCGTCACATTCGAAAAACCCAATTCTTTAATCTTCTCAACCATAAGAGAAATTTCTTCCTCTCTAACATTTCGAAAAGACTGTACTTTTCTATTGCTTAAAAGCTGATAAACGCAAATACTCTTTACCTGCCTCCAGTATTCACCATAGGGACAAAATGCTATATCTTTGCATTCATAAATCCCACTTGCTACACTTGATTTAGGCCTGTTTGAGAAAATGGGATCATGGGTTTTCATAATTTCTCGAGCTGCATCGGCTGATGACACAACAAGAATGGGGACGTTGCCCAGATGAAGAAGCATCAGGGAGCCATGCTTTTGGGCTAAGGATTGAAGAGTTCTATGGGGATTCAACCCAATTTGATGCAGATTTCCAATTATTGGGAGTTTTGGTGGAGATGGTGGGTGGTTTAAAGGGGTTTTTGAGGGGTTAAACCACTTCCTGATCAAGAAAACAGTAAGCAAAAACAAGGGGAAAACAAAAAATCTTGAGGACAGCCACGGATTTTCTTGATAAAATACAAAACCAGACATGATTATCATAAAATTAAAGCATTCGAGGGTGTGCTTTCAATTTCAGAGTTGTTATATAATCTGTAGAGAGTAAGCCTTTACTAGACAATTGACTTTCAAAAGGCTAAGCAATCAATTGAGATTGAGACACAGCCGTTGAAGTCTTTTCACAAAAAGTGTGTTTGCTGGCCCCTACTTCGCCAATCAACATCATTATAGAGGGAAAAAGACTTCCTAGGCATTGCTAAGGAGTTAATTGTCTATTTAGTCACTGAACTTTCAGTCATGCACTCAAAGAGTCACTTAACTTTTAAAATAACGCAACTAATCACTGGGCTTTACAATTCATCATCCCAGAGTTCACCGAGCAAACGGCCGTTGATAAATTGGACTGAATTTCCACGTGACAATTGATGTGGGGAGACAATTCAATGAATTTTGAAAGTTCAGTGACCCCTTGCGTGCATGGCTGAAAGTTCAGTGACTATAGTTCAATGACCCCTTGCGTGCATGACAATTCACTCCCGCTTGGCCCCATTATATTATATTTCATTTCTCTCTTCTTCTTTTTCTTATCAAACACGCATTCTCCAATAAAAAAAGATTGCACGTAAAAAAAATCTTTCTTTTTTAAAATGTATTTTGAATAAAACGAAGCCCAAACAGGGACTTGTATAAATACCCTTAATTTTGAGATCCTTTTGAAAAATCATTATAAACTGATAAGTATTTGATGCTACTGTTGAATTCACAACTAATAATCCAATTCAGGGCCGGAGCTCAGAAATTCATTCAATGCGGCCCTATTTAATTGACGTCAAACTTTGAGTTTTTGGTCATGAATTTAATGATGATAAAAGTATAAAATAATATTAAGACAATACTAAAAATAACATAGTTTATAAATTAAACTTGTGCCTTGCGAGTTTCATACTTTGATATCGTTGTACAATAACATCATTATCAATCTTCAAAAATATATCTTTCTCTACATAAATAATTATGCCATCATTCATCCACTGATCACACATCCGATTAATCAATATATTCTTTACAATGCTCATTGCAGAAAATACTATCTCCATAATAGCGATAGCAACTGGTAAAATTAACGCTGAAGTCAAAAGATTATAAATCAATGTATATAGTTTATTTTTCTTTGTCATAACTAACTTCTCTGCAAAATCACAAAGGTCATTCAACATTTCAAACTCTTTGTTAGAGCACATTTAAAAAAATATAAGTTTTTTTTTTTTTGGAAAATATATAGTTAAAAAAGAAAGATTTTTTTTTTAATTTACGTGTAACCTTATTTTATTGGAGAATGTGTGTGTGATAAAAAAATGAATTATAATTTAATAGGGAACAATGGGGGCCAGCGGGAGTGAATTACCTATTTAGTCACTGAACTTTCAGCTATATACACAAGAGGTCACTGAACTTCCAAAATTCATTGAGTTGTCTTACCACGTCAGCTACCACGTGGAAATTTCGTCCAATTTATCAACGGTCGTTTGCTCAGTGACTTCTTGGATGATGAATTTTAAAGTTCAGTGACTAGTTACGTTATTTTAAAAGTTCAGTGACTAAATAGGCAATTCACTCCATTGCTAAGCACACATTTATGATAGGGGTGGGCAAAAAAATCGAAAAATCGATTAAATCGATCGATCCAAACCGAGTCGGGTCGATTTAGATTGGTTTGAACCAAAAAATCAATTTGGTTTGGTTAATTTTAACCATTATAAATTCGGGTTGGGTTGGTTGCAGTTTAAGCAATCCAGTTTAAGCAATCAACCCGTCAATTAACCGATCCAACCTGCAAATACATTTTTTTTTCTTCATTTTAAAATTCATCTTCTTAAACTTAAAGCTCCAAATTTCGAAAGAAAAGAAAGCAAGAAGTGTTTATTATAAATTTCAAATTTAGATTGTATCATTACTTTTCATTTTTGGTATAATTGTTGTTGGTAACTATCAGATATATACGATAATTTTGGACAAATCAACCAACTACCATTTATATTATATATATTATTGATACGCAATCAAATATATATATAAAGACAATTTTTTTAACTCAAAATAGATACGTAATCTTTTTTAACTTGCACGAATGTCCAAACCAACCCAAACCGATTTGGTTTGATTTGGTTCGGTTTCAATGATTGGATTTGGTCGATTTGGGTTGCAATTTTTCCAAACCAACTAATCCGGTTTCAGTTATAGGTTGGACTCAAAACCAAACCAATCTGAACCATGCTCAGTCCTAATTTATCAGATAAGAAGAGTTAAAGCTATTTTAACAAAAAAATTTGATCACTACTTGACAGATGCATGATTTGCAAAAATTTACCATTTTTTTAATGACTCGGGTGTCCGAACTTCGCCGACTAATTCTGAGGAGTGACAGCCTTCCCCACTGGTTCGTCACTTGGGTAAATCCGAATGTGGTCACAACTTATACACACTTGGGCCGGACATTCGGGAAGCAAATCTCCTTCTTGTGGACCTCCCTTTACAACGTGCGGACAGGATCCCGGATGAGCGAAAAAGCGCACCATAACTTTGCCACCGCAGGGCATCTGCCTTTTAACGTAAATGTTGCCTTCCAGCAACCGCGGGGATTCCAACATCCGATACTCTGTAGAGAACCCTCCTACTTTACTACTGCGTCGTGCCCATGAGGGCAAAATTTACCATTTCTTAAACAGTTTATGTCAAGAGAGTGGGCAAATAATTCTGACCATGTAACATGATTGATCAAATAATTATCGCACAATTTAAGTTTAAGTTGAGCTAAATTGGAGTTTTGAGGAGTTGTTCATACAAAAAATGCTAGTGTAAATGACAATGTTAGAAACTGAACTTGTAGCAAAGTTTCTTGTTAGTGATTCAACTTTATTTCTTGCTAGCATAAGAAAAGAGGTAAAATCCTAAACCTAACTCCAAAATCTAATTGCCCTTTGACACTATCCTTGTGTGTGGAGATAGAGTTTTGAGTTCGTTCTTGCTTTATGGATTATTGTTAAAGGCTAGATATATGTAGTATTCAAAGATATAACTCTTATCACAAATTCTTACTATGATTATTCCCTTTGTACAGGGAAATTTCGTTGACAGTGCCCGTATAATTTAGAGATGACAAAAAAATTCGTTCAACCCAATATTTGTGGGACCCCACCTCAAATGGGGCGGAGATTACCTGCCTAACCTGGTAAACATAGGGTGTACTTTCAATTTCAGAGTTGTTATATAATCTGTAGAGTGTAAGCCTTTACTAGACAATTGGATTTCACATGGTTAAGCAATCAATTGAGATTGAGACATAGACGTTGAAATCTTTACACAAAGTGTGTTTGCTGGCCCCTACTTTGCCAATCCACATCATTATAGAGGGAAAAAGAGTTCAACTCTACGTATTGCTAAGCTCACATTTATCAGATAAGAAGAGTTAAAGCCATTTTATCAAAAAAAAATAAAAAAATTGACCACCTACTTGACAAATGCAGTGATGACAACAGATGATTTACAAAAACTTACTATTTTTTTAAACAGTCATTCTATCAAGAGAGTGGGGAAATAATTTTGACAATATAATATGATTGATGAGATAATTATCGCACAATTTAAGTTTAAGTTAGACTTAATTGGAGTTTTGAGTTGTTTAGACAAAAAACACTCGTGTAAATGACAATGTTAGTCTCTGAACTTGTAGCAAAGTTTCATGTTACTTTATGTTGGAATTTTGTATTGGAAATTGGTTGTGACCAATTGAAATAATTTAAGTGGAAATTCCTTGTTTGGTGAATGAGAAATTAAGCCAAACTTAAACCACTTAATACTTGAAATTATTGGAATTGTGTAGAATATTGTGGAATATTCTAGAGAATGTAGATGAAAAGATGTGTCTTTTCATATGGATCATGACTCTTGGAGAGCATGACTTTTGGTATGAGTAACTTCCAATAATTATGATTATTCAAGAGATGTGTCTCTTGGTATGGATGTTCCAACTACTATATATATGGATTCCCTATGTGTTTGGATTAACTACACAACAAACAATTCATTTGATAGTTTCATATCATGGTTACTTTAGTTTTGCATAAAACACTTTATAGAAGTGATTTTCTCTTGCATCAAAATCATGGTTATGGTAGAGAGGGAACTCCGTTCGAGTTCGTTGGTCTAAGTCATTTGGAGTGCTCCTATGGCTTGACGTGGTCGTTGTATCTTGGGAGATGATTGCCGAGAAACCGTTAGCACCGATGCGGGGCAAATTCATCTTAAGGAAAAAGTGTCAAACACTTGCCTCGACCGATCGCATCACTTGCATTTCATCTTTCTCATTTCTGATTTTATTTATGCTTGATTTCAGAATATGGTTAATTTATTTATGTGTTTTATTGAAGGGTTTGAATTGAAGAACAACATGCGTTCACTCATATTGGGAAGTGAAGAATTCATATTATTATATTCGAAGTCGGTAAATCGCTATTTTATCTTCTCAAATCAGATTTCGGTAAGTCGAATGATGTTTCGATTTCACGCATATTAACGGCATGCTCTTGATGAATATAATATGCACATTATCGGTGTAATATCTCCCACAATCTTAAGATGAATTTTTTGATGTGCATGTTATATGGAAATCATGATATTGTATGGAAATTCCGAAGACATGTAAATTGAAACGGTGCTGATATTTAAATCTATATTCTCATAGAATTATCTGATTAATTTCTGAATTCTGTGTATATTAAATGGTACTGGCACCTCTGTTCGGCAAATTGGAAAGAATGGCAGATTGATTTTTGGCAATTTATTCGTATTTCAAATAAAAGTGCTGGCTGTTCATTTTATGAAAATGTGTGAAACCATGTCATATATGTTCTTAACATATGCTGATTATTGCTTACTATATGATTTCCAAAGGAAATCTCTTATGAGAGATTCTACTAAATGTTTCATTTTTAATGCAATATAAAATCTGATTTTGTTATTGCATGTTCCAAGTA